GTGCATGCTCCAGGATCAGGTAGACTCTTGTCACATCGTGGAAGTAGCCATATAATCTGAGAATGTTGGGGTGCCTGCAAAGAGATTTCAGTGTTCTTCTGCATCCAGTGTTTGTCCACAACCTTTAATTTCCCTGTCCTGCTCCTCCCCCAACTCCCAAGGCAAGCACAGGAATTTCAGCTCATCCATTCCTTCAGTACACAACACACAAAATCTTATCATAAAGAAGAAACCTTATCATAAAGAAGAAACCTTATCATAATGGAGGTTACTTTGTTTATTTGCATTCAAACAAAGCAGAGTGAATAGCCACTAAGCCTTACCTAAGGTGAGACTGTATTTCCACTTCTCTTCGCAGCTGATGCTCCACACCAGCCTCCTCCAGCTGTGCTTTAAAGAGCACTTTCAGTGCAAGAATGAATTTGCTCTGTTTTTCACGTGCCAGGTACACATTGCCAAATTTTCCTTTCCCCAGAGGACGACCAATTTCAAAATCATCAAGAGACCATTGCCTTCTGCAAGAGGAAAGTCAAAAGTTGGAGTTGTGTTGCCTTTGACTCAGATTTACAGTTTATAACGTTCCTGTTCAAGAGATGTTGAGTGCTCTAAACTAGATTTTAGTCTTTATGAAAACACTAAGAGAATAAAGGCATTGAGATTTCAAAAGGAAGCTCTGAAAGCTATATTCTTCCCTCCTGAGGCTTCTGCAGACACTACACCAACCACACTAGAACAAAATGAAGACTGTTTACCAAGCTGGGTTCCTTTAGATACTCCTAACCCAGACACATCACCAGGGCATGGCAAAACAACATAAAGTTGCCATAAACAAACTCAGCTTCATCCCAAATGAGCCTGCAGCCTCCTGCCCAGCTGAAGGAGGTTTTGTTTTCAGGAGCACATCTCGTGACTGGGGCAGAGCTATCAGTGCTCTCTCTCCCCTGGGATGAGCTACTCTGCATTTAGCCCAAAGTTTGCTTTAGATTACAGCAAGTCCTTGTTCCTGGCAATTACCAGGCCAAAGGCTGCTTTCCTTGTGTGTGCCTGCACAGTGTGGGGGTCACCAGGCTCCAGAGCAAAGGAGCTCCAGCAGGGCTCAGTTATCTAGAGCTTAGGCCCAGAACTTACCTTCTAGTCTCTTCACTTGTCTTCTTGGTCTCTTCTGTTTTCTGTTTCGAGGTGTTTTCTGCTTCAGGGTTCTGTGCTGTGTACAGAGAAGGAAAGCAATGTATGAACCAGACTCATGGGAACACACACATAGGAACAAATCTAACCCCTGAGCATCATCTCAAGCAGCTTTTAGAATCCGTTCCAGGACATTTTAAGCAACCTAGCACAGCTGACTGCTGGGAAACAAACAGCCCTGGCAAAATGCAATTTAAAAAGCTTTCTGAGCATAAAAACTCATGAATTCTTTCCCCCTCCCCAGACAAAAGTATCCTTGTGCATGAATCTTGGAGAACCTGTGAGGTCTGAATGCAAATTACATTAACTCCCAGCTGGCTGCTGAGCACCTGGAAGTTTTTAACACCATACTGTCTCTAACTGGTTAATTCACAGATAAATTTACAAGGATGGTGCAGCAACACCCAAAGTGAACCATGTGCTGCTCTTCTGTTTGGGGGCACAACCAAGAACTTCCCTCCAGGACCGTCCCTGGATCAGCAGCAGCTTTAGGAGCATCCTGAGTGCCACAGCTGGGCTCCCAGGGAAATCACCCTCACAATTACCAGCTGCTGCAGCCTGGGCAGGTTTCTCACTGCTCTTGCTGGCAGCCTGAGGTCTCACAGTGGCCTGCTGGGGCACTTTGGGCCGGGGCTGCTGCGCTGTTTGGTTTTTGGGTGGTTTTTGGGCTGTCAGTGCAGGTTTTTGGGGCTGCACGGGGACTCGCTGGGCGAAGTTTGCAGGACACAGAACTCGGGCTGGAGCTCCACTGGTGAGCGAGTGGCTCTGGGCTGAGTGCTGCGACACAGGGACACGCTTGGGGACATCCCCGATGGGATTGGTGACCTTCAGAGAGAAAGGAGAACGTGTTAATTGTGCAGCAGCACAGCAGAACCTTCACAGCCCCACTCACTCAAAAGCACTTCAACAGAAACACTAAAAAACATGCATTGAGTAGTTAACTAAAAGGAAATTTTGCTTATACTGTTCCAAAAACTTACCACCCCAATTCAGTTTTATAAAAACAAACGAGATGGTGCCTGTATTTCTAAATGAAAAAATACAATAATCAGGGTGATCTTGAGCACTGCTGCACATGTGTATCCATAGTAACATTTGCACAGTGCTTGCTTTTAGAAACTGTACCTAAAACAATTTGATTATACACATGCACTTTCTCTTTAAGGGCTCTTAAATACTTATAATATAAAGACGATTTCCCCATGTAATAAGATATGCTAACATTAACAGTAATTTTTAAAAATCAGCTATGGGTTGTTTTCTCTAGGTGAAAGCTAGTGAAAGACAAATTACTAGTTTGAAACCGGTAATTAATATGAAACAGGGAGAAACAAACCCAAAAAGTAAAAACTAAAGACCACTCCTTGAACCGATTAAAATTTTAATAGCAAATTCCCAGGCATGGAGACCAAGGATGCAGCAGAGGAAGCTGCTCAGGAAGAGGCACACAAACCGCGTATTTCACACCTTACCTTGGCAGCGCGGCCTGGGTACGCGGCGTGGTTCTCCTTCATGTTCCTGTCCATAGCGCCAGAGCGGTAGAGGCCCGTGCGGCTCGGGCTGAGGGCGAGAGGGGCTC